TTTAGAGAGTGATCCAGCAGTGATCCAGCTCTTTGTGTCTCTCTTTCAAATACATATTAAAAAAAAAAAAAACAAGAAACTAAATAACCAACTCATCTGCAAATCTCTTACCATCACAGTATGGCATTAGCTTAAACACTGAACTATTACTTCTGCCTTTCAGAAAGAATCTAAACATCAAACATTTTGACTGGACACAAGAGGGAGCAATTTAGCCTTGAATGAGGCTTATAATTCGCTCAAGTAAACTTATTCAGAGAAAAACTGTCTTTTCTAGAGGAAATTAACCCCATCCTACCTTCTTGTAATGCTTATTCTGATAACAATAAATAATAACATCAAAAAAATCTTGGGATGGACAGAAACAAAGAAACAGCCTATATATTTTTAAAACTCAGCATGTTAATATAGCATTGCACATGGCTTACAGATGTCAAGTCTTTACAATTTCCCTAGAAGTAACAAAAAAAAAAAAAGGTTGGCTATTCAAAAAACTTAAAACACATGCCTAGTTAACTTTACTTATTGTCTTAAACCAATCACCACCCTAAAATAAACTTTCTATAAGAACCATAATATTTTTAAGACTTAGTCTCTTACTCTGAAAATCAGAGGTAGAGAGAGAGATCTTTCATCTTCTGGTTTGCTCTCCAGGTACCTGTAACAGCCAGGGATGCGCCAATCCAAAGCCAGGAGCTGCTTCTGGGTCTCCCACATGAGTGTAGGGACCTAAATACCTGGACCATCTCCCACTGCCTTTTCCAGGAAGCTATTACCAGAGAGCTGAATTAGATGCAGAGCAGCTGGAACTCAAACCAGCACACACTTTATAAGCTTTGCCACAATGGCAGCCCCAGGAACCAGAATTTTATTCAAGTTTCTAATCCTTACAATATCTAGCTTTTTTGTTTTCTTTACTTGTAAAAGAACAGATTTTAAGGGCTGAACAGTGGCTTATTAACCTTCCACCTGCAACACTTGCTTCCTGTATGGTCACCGGTTCTAGTCCCGGCTGCTCCACTTCTGATCCAGCTCCGTGTATACAGACTGGAAAAGCAGCAGAGGATGGCTCAAGTCCTTGGGCCCCTGTACTCACAAGGAAACTCAGAAGAAGCTCCTGGCCATTTGGGGGGTGAACCAGTGGATGAAAGATCTCTCTCTGTCGGGTGGGTCTCAGGACGGGCCGTCTCATGCCTGGATCCCAGACGGCCGCATGGGCACATGGTGAGCCGTTCCCGGGCCTGCTGGGTTCCGGAGGCTGCTTCCTTCAGGGTGAGTAGACCGAGGGGGGAGGCCTCTGGGACTGGGCAGGTCCGGGACCCACCTGCCGCCCTCATTGGGCAGTGAATGGGATTTGGGAGGGGCGCGACCTTGGGCCTGGGAATTTAAACCTCCAGCAGCCTCCCGGCAGCTGGTGGGTCTCAGGACGGGGCGTCTCATGCCTGGATCCCGGACGGCCGCCATGGGCACATGGTGAGCCGTTCCCGGGCCAGTGCGCCATTGGTGCCAGGCTCTGCCTGCTGGCCGCCCAGCTGGGGAGCTCTGGGGATTTGGTTCTTTGAGTCACTGCTTAATTAGCTCCAGGTTGAACCCATTGTGATTCTCGGACATGAAACAGGCAGTAACTCTTCCTTTGTAAAACTTGTAATCACTAATAATGCTGAGCACCAAATACCAGTCCATGCAGAAGCCTGGGCTTGGGGCTTGTCCTGCAAAAGTAGCTCCAACGGCTGGCTAATGTGTCAACTGGTAGGGAACAGAGTAGATCTGGTACGACTGAGCAAACCTTAGCCCACAATAAAACTAGAAACCAGGAGGGAGCAGAGGTCATTCCAAGCTAGGCTCTTGTACCTACCTACTGGTCTGCGGGAGCCAGGGACGCGAAGCCACAGTGTCTAAGGCAGAGGTCGGGACAGGTGAGCAGCTGTGCCAAGCTGAGTCAGAGCAACCACTGGCATGCGAGTGATCTATGGCTGGGAACAGACCCGGTTGGGGAGCAAAGGGGACAACCCTAGCTGGGCTGAGGTTCCCACCAAGAGGCGCGTGGCCTGGAAGGGGGGCTGCGTTCTGATCTGGATACAGTAGTAGTCTCCCTTGGCACAAGTGTGGACTGGGATTGGATGCACCGAACCGGGCTGGACCCCGACTCCCCCTGGTGTTCCGGAGGACCAGGGCAGATGTGCGATGGACTAGGCAAGGTCTCAAACCCCTACTGAGCCATGTGTGAGCCATACGTGGGTATGGACAAACCATGGCTGGGCTGGAACATCCAACAGCAAGAACCAGATTGGGTGGAAGGCCAGTCAGTAAAAGCCACAGTTCCTGCTAGGACAGGAGGTGGACTGAGTAGGGTTGGCTCATGGACCCACTGGTAAGCGTGAAACCTGGCATTGGGAGAGGTTCTGATGGAGGAGCCTGGGCAACTCCTCTGGCAGGACACAGACCCAGCAGGTCAGCGCAAGAAACATGATAGGAAACAGCCCAGAAAAGGCCATGGAAAGCTACCCACTGGCATACAATTGGCAGACGTGGGGGCAAGACCAGGCTGAATCTGTCCACGTCATCCACTGGCAAATCCAGGCACAAGTGTGGGTCGAACCAGGTTCGGTCGCAACAAAGACTAGTGCACAATATGGAATGCCGAGGTGAGGTTGCCTGTACCGGAAGGGACCGCAGCGTCCAACCAGCCTGAGAACAAGAAAGGAAGTGGGCAGAGCCAGTAGGGGAATAAGGGAGGGTTCCTTTGCAGGACAGCTACTTCCGCAGGAGAGCATGGGCTGGGATGGGGGCAGACCAGACTAGGCAGAGCCACCACACCTGTGCGCCTCATGTGGACTAGATCAGGGAAAAGCCGGGCTTGGCAGATTATTCCTACTGGGGCAAACAAAATTAAAGTGGGCGAGGTTTGTTTGGGCAGCATCAACTGGAATCTGGGAGTGGGAGAGGCCTGGGAGGGAAATAGTGGGCTCATCCCTCTTGGGTTACCACTTCCACGGGAGGACATAAAACTAAGACAGCGGCTAGGGTGGAATGGGGTGTGGGACAGACTGGATTACTGCTACACTTACTGGCAAACCAGGGTAGGGGGCGGGCCTGGTGGGGGTTATTGTGGGTTGCTCCAACTAGGCTGCAGCTCCCACTGGTTTATGTGAGGGCCAAGTATGTGCGGGGCAGAACCAGGCTGGACTGCAACACCCATTGGTTCCAGTGGAAGTCGGGAGTGAAAACAGAACCAACCCAGCAATTACAACCACCAGCTGATTGGAGCGATGGACGGTGCCAGGCCCTGTACTTGTTAGCACACACAAGAAGTTTCTTTGGAGATCTTCCTAATCTAAATGCTGGACTCAGAACCCTAACGAAGAAAAGAGAGAAGACAGAACGGGTCAACCAACCATCTCAGCTATGATGGACTATGTCAATCAGTGGATTTTTCAAAGACCTCATAGTGCTTGGAGTGGCAAGACTGACAGCGATTCATAACTGTGGCAATATCAAAACCACTTGAGCAAGAACCTCAGAGCATGCCCTACATCCGGGACCTGGGGAGGGTGGGAAATTGGGTGGGCCTTCTCCCTTAATACCCCCCTTTAAACATGAAGGTAACAATATGGAAAACATACTAGTATTAGCCACTTTCCTGTAGCCCTTGAACCTTCTTACTCTAACTATGTAAAGAATGTCAAAATAAATTTTATTAATAAAAAAAAAGTGAAAAAAAAAAGATCTCTCTCTGTCTCTCCTTCTCTTTAAAACAAAAAGAAATAAATCTTCAAAAATTTTTAAAAATTAAAAGAACAGGTTTTTAAGCCTTTCTGCATAACCCAATGGTCATGCAGCCAGCATGGTGCCTAGGTGACCCGAGGCACCGGCATCCCATGTGGGTGGGGCTTCAAGTCCCTGTGGTGATGTTTCACTTCCTTTTTTGCTTCCTGCTAAGAGGCCCGGGAAGCAGTAGCGGTTGGCCTAAGTACTTGGGCCACCACACCCATGTGGCAGATCTGGAAGAAGCTTCAGCCTGGCCCAGCCTTGGCTGTTGTAAGCCATTTGAGGAGTGAGCCAGTGTATAGAAGATTCTCTGTCCCTTTCTCTCTCTTTCTCTCAGTGTTTCGCCTGCTCTATTTGTAATTCTGCCTTTCAAATAAATAAAAAATAAATCGTTAAAAAAGAAAGAAAGAAAGAAAAAGAGGGTCAGCACCGTGGCACAGTAAGCACTGGGTTCGGATCCCAGCTGCTCCACCTCCAGTCCTGCAGAGGAAGCAAAGAACTCACCCTGTCTGATCTTCCCTCCGTACCTCTGCCTTTCAAATAAAATAAACAAAGGAAAAAGAAAAGGAGACGTGAGACAGAAGCAAAGATCAGAGAGGGTGAGAGATAAACATCTGAAGATGCTACACACTGTCAGCTCTGAATATGGAGAAAAAGATCAGGAGTTCAGAAACTCAGAAACGCAAGGGGAATCCTCCCTACAGCTGCTGAAATCAGCCCAGCTGACACCCCATGTTAGCTTAATAAGAACCTCCAGAACTCTTAAGAAAATAAACACATGTTATTTTAAGCAATCAAATTTAGGGAAACCTGTAACAGCCAGCAAGAGAAAGCAAACAAAATGTCTAATAATCATGAGTCTGGCGCAGCAAACCTAGCGGCTAATGTCCTTGCCTTGCATGTGCCATGGTCCCAAACGGACGTCAACTTGTGTCCAGGCAGCCCTGTTTCCCATCCAGCTCTCTGCTTGTGGCCTGGGACAACAGTCCAGGACGGTCCAAAGCCTTGGGATTCTGCACCCATATGGGAGACCCAGAAGAAGCTCCTGGCTCCTGGCTTCTGATCGGCTCAGCTCCAGCTGTTGTGGCCACTTGGGGAGTGAATCAATGGACAGAAGATCTGTCTCTCTTCCTCTCTATCTGACTTTCCAATTAAAAATAAGTAAATATTTTTTTTAAAAATGCCTAATCATTGCTCCTCAGGAGGCAACACACATCTTGATCAAAACCTACCTTCTAAGAGACAATGATCTCGAACAGCTTCGGCAGCTAATACGGACTTGCCACACCCTGCCATTCCATAGATGGTGACCCAACCCGGTTCACCATTCAACTTGAACAGCTTCTGCTGAATTGCATTTACCAGCTTCTTCCTTGTAACAAAGACAACTGGTCTCTGGGGTACCCCACCTTCACGCAGCACTGTCCTTACTGAAATATAAAACACGCACAAATGAATAACTTTCAAATGATTACTCACCTCATGCGACAAACGTCACAGACAGCCAGGCAGAGCCTGGGCCTCGGAACTGAGAGAAGTTACATGGTTAACATATCAACTTCACCTTCCTGATTCCTCAGAATATAGAAAACAAAAGCAAGTGCGCATCCTTTGAAATGACAACAGGCAGCCCAAGTCTCCATCCACCCGTCCCCTCGCTCACCCGCCTCCTCCTCCTTATCGCCCGTTTATACTGAAAGCAGCGTAAGGGGTACAGTGGTTATGCATTCCCTTCAAGTTAACAGAGTTTTAAAACCACTCTTTCCTAGGAGCACATAAAATTGGAAAATAACGTTACAGACCTACATATTGTCCTATTGTCTCTAACAATTGCAGGGCAAATTTTATGTCAACAAAAATAATTTCCACAGGCAAAAAAAGGAAAAAGTAACACATATGCAAATATTTAATTTGAAAGCATCACTATTTTTTTGTATGCATTTTCCACAGAACTAATCACACTCTTCAGCAGGTGACAGTAAGACAAACCTGCAGCCATGCTAGCCTTCATGACAGTAACGTGACAGAAGGTATCAGGGATACGAACCATAGGAAGTTATTCCTCCAGCTCTATCTTTGCTACCGGAAGGAGAGACAGCAGGAATACCACTGTAGAGAAGGGCAGCAAGATCCTTATACCCTTCACAAAGTAGTGCATTGTAGAATGATATATAGGAATTATTATCTTTTTTAAGTATAATTTGAATTAGCATAGCTGCTCGTTGACGTTGAGTGAGCTGGAAAAAAAAAAAAAAGGGTTCACTGTACAACAAGCAAAATGCTCACAACCACAGTTAGTGGAGCCCAGCACAGCGCTGACACTCTACAAAGCGCCAAGAAAGCACGGCCTCAGACAGCTTTACCTCACTTTTCACTCTCTCCTCCTCCGCTAACGTTAAAACTCCATCGCTAACCATGTGATCCATGACGCAGGCTGTCTTGATGTCCTTCGCCAGAGCTTCTCTGTGCTGTAATAAACAGTTTCGAGCTTTTGCATCCATCCTCCCTCAACTGTTTCTCTCTCTGAACTGTCAATCATGAGCTGCAGGAAAAACATCAAAATAAATATATCTCAAAAACAATGTAATACCACTGGTCATCAAGAAAAATAAACAACTTTTTTTTAAATTTCCATAAATGGTAAAAGCTAATGTTATGAAAGGTGTGAAAAAAAAAACAGGGAGTCCTGTACACTACTTAGGGACAGAAAAAAAAAATGGATGCAACTTTTCCAGAAGGCAGTGAAATACAGAAATGTTTAAATTAAGAATTCTTTGTAACTCGGAAACTCCACTTCTAAAAATATGCCTCAAGTATATATTCACATACGTCTCTAAAATATTCTCAAAAAGACTTTAAGAGAATGTGCTCAGGTGATTAGAAAGATGAACACACGGGACCAGCATGCTAGCCTAGTAGCTAAAGTCCTTGCCTTGAATGTCCTGGGATTCTACATAAGCACTGGTTCATGTCAGGACTACCCCACTTCCCGTCCAGCTCCCTGCTTGTGACCTGGGAAGCAGTTGAGGACAGCTCAAACCCTTGGGATCCTGTACCAGCATGGGAGACCAGAAAGAAGCTCCTGCCTACTGACTTCGAATTGGCTGGCTGTTGAGGCTACTTGGGGAGTGACCCAGTGGATGGAAGATCTCCCTCTCTGCCTCTCCTCTCTGTAAATCTGACTTTCCAATAAAAGTAAATAAAGCTTAAAAAGAAAATGAACACAATCTAAATGTCCATCATCCAACTATGCATTAAAGGTAACTAGGTTGGGGCAGGTGTTCAGCACAGCAGCTAAGACAGCCCTGGGGATGCACATACCCCACATCAAAGCGTGTGGGTTTGAGTCCTGTCATTTTGACCCAGCTTTCTGAGACGTACATCCTGGAAGACAGCACCCACCAGCACGTGTGGAATGTCAGGGGGTTAGTGTGAGCCCGCAGGGGGACTGATGGGGGGGTCCTCTGCGGGACCACTGCCCCCACTGGTGAGCATGAGGACTGGGAGCGGACCAGGCAGGCGGGCTGGCTAGGCTTTGCCACAGCATCACCTGGCAGGCGCTGGGACCGGGGGCAAATCTTGTCAGGCTAGGCCACAGAACCACCTGGAGAGTGCAAAAACCAGGACTTTATAAGAGGCAAGGCTGGAGACAGAACCAACCCAGCAATTGCAACTACCACTGGGTGCACAGGCTAAAGTAGGTGACGAACTGAGCCGGGTCCCCTACTGACAAACTCATGCAAGTCAGATCTGGGTCACATCAGAGCAAGTTTATTCCAGAAAACCGCAAATGAACTTCTAGACACATAACTCCAACCGTGGGGGAAATCGCAGGGTCTGTGGTCTGAGCACGTAGTTCAAGTGTCAGAACTGGGCCTCCTCGGTGGCTTAGAGGGATATTCAGACACACATGGAGAACATGGCAGTCCACTGGGGCCTGCAGAGGACATCTGCTGCCAGCGTAGAGGAAGGACAGAATAAATTGGTCAACTACCCCAGCCAAGCACTGACATCAAATATTCGGGCAAATGGAGACTCTGGGGTGGACTCTGTCAGCCAATGGGCCTTGGAAAGATCTCCTCATCCTTGGATCTGGGAGACTGAAGACATTTCAGAACTATCAAAACCACCTGAGCAGAATCCTCGGAGCATGCTACAATCGGGTACCCTGGGATGACATCAGGTGGCTGCTCCCCACCGTGGGTGCTGAGGTTACTGGGAGGCTGGGCGTGGCTTCTCCCCTTATCTCTCCCCTTCCCCCAGATACAGGAAGAAGAAAATTTGGAAACAATGGTCTCACCAACTTTCCCCTAACCTTCAATGTTTCCCACCATAACCTGAAAAGGAAAATTTAGGATAGAGGAATTGAATTTGCTTTTTTGCCTTCTGCACTTTACTTGCTCTTGCCTTCTGTACTTTGCTCACTGAAAAAGACAATGGATAGCTGAACCAACATCTCTAGCCAGACAAACATCATGACTTAGATAGAGCCTGGGAACCGGAGAGAGATAAGGGGCACCTGTGGCTGCATCCGGATTAAGTCATAAAAAGTCTTGAGACAAGCATCTCAGGGAAGAAGTGTGATAAGGAATTGAGGGCGCAGTGGAAACGACCCTAATTGCATGGCAAGGCAAAGGTCTTTTTTTTTTTTAAAAGATTTATTTTATTTTTATTGGAAAGGCGGAGAAACAGAGAGGAGGAGAGACAGAGAGGAAGATCCTCCGTCCGATGATTCACTCCCCAAATGAGCACAACGGCCGATGCTATGCTGATCTGAAGCCAGGAGCCAGGAGCTCTTCCGGGTCTCCCGCACAGGTGCAGAGTCCCAAAGCTTTGGGCCGTCCTTGACTGCTTTTCCAGGCCACAGGCAGGGAGCTGGATGGGAAGCGGGGCTGCCGGAACTACAACCAGCGCCCATATGGGATCCTGGGACATGCAAGGTGAGGACCTTAACCACTGCGCCATCGCGCCGGGCAGGCAAAGGTCTTTTATGGCCCCCTTTCCTGAGTATGGTTTTTAGCCTTTAAAAGGAATGCTGAACAAAGCCTCGGGGTTGGTGTGCCTAGCCTCCTGTGTGGGGACAGGACCAGCCCCAGCACGCTGGTGATCGTACAAAGCCTAGGGAATCTGCACCCGTGTCGGAGACCCAGAAGAGGCCCCTGGTTCCTGACTTTGAATTGGCTCAGATCTGGTCATTATGGCCACTGGGGAGTGAACCAGAGGATGGAAGATCTTTGTCTTTCCTTCTCTGTACATTTGCGTTTCTGATTAAAAAAAAAAAAAAAAACAACTTAAAAAAGTAGGGCCCAGCTCAGCAGCCTAGAGGCTAAAATCCTCGCCTTGCCCACACTGAGAACCCATATGGGCGATGGTTCAAATCCTGGCAGCCCTGCTTCCCACCAAGCTCCCTGCACCATGTGGGAGATCTGGAAGAGGCTTCTGGCTCCTGGCTTCAAATTGGCTCAGCTCCAGCCACTCAGGCTGCTTAGGGAGTGAATCAATGGACAGAAGATCTTCCTCTTTGCCTTGCCTCCTCTCTGTATATGTGACTTTCCAAAAAAAAATAATAAAATAAATCTTTGCAAATAAATAAAACATGAGCAGACAGGGCAGGTTCTGTTGCTTAGCAGGCCTATGGCACTGGCACCCGAAGCAGTACCAGTTTAAGATCTGGCTGTTCCACTTCCAGTCCAGCTCCCTGCTCGTGGCCTGGGCACTTGAGTCTCTGCACCCACATGAGAGACCTGAAAGAAGCTCCCGGCTCCCAGCTTCGGACGAGCCCAGTGTGGCCACTGCGGCCATTTGGGGAAGGGACCTCTGTCTCTGCTTCATTCTCTGTAATTCTGCATTTCAAATAAAAAACCAGCTTTAAGGGCCCAGCGTGGTGGCCTAGCAGTTAAAGTACTTGCCCTGAACACACTGGGATCCCATATGGACGGCAGTTGTAATCCCAGCAGCTCCACTTCCCATCCAGCTCCCTGCTTGTGGCCTGGGGAAGCAGTCGAGGACGGCCCAAAGCCCTGGGACCCGGCACCCACATGGAGACCTGGAAGAAGCTCCTGGCTCCTGGCCTCAGATCAGCTCAGCTCGGGTCCTTGCAACCACTTGGGGAGTGAACCAGCTGACAGAGGATAGATCTTTCTTTCCACTCTCCCTCCCTCTGTAATTCTTTGAAATGGATAAATATTTTAAAAGGGGGTGGGGGGTTATCAACTGTAAGCACTTGTAAAAATAAGGAAGTACTATGTATTTTCCTGTGCTTGACCAGGTTCACAAAACATCCAGGACCGGTATGAAACTTAATTAATAAAAGTCATGATGAAAATTAAGGCTATCACATTTTCAAAATGTTAATACCGTTTTTGTTTTCTTCAACATACAACGGTCCTGTATTCACAGCTGTGACACTGGACTTCACAAATTTAGGTTAGAGTCTAAGCAATGTAATAATAAACAGACGCTCTTTGGGTTGCTGCAACTCAGCGCTATTGAACACACAGATCCGTAAACTTGCACCTACTGAAATATTCTGAACAAATTTGGTGTAAACACATCGAAATACAAAACCCAAACTCTCCACTGACATAAACACAGGAAAACCGGTCACTACTTCCTCCTTAGTCAGTTTCTCTTCCTGCTACAAAATAGAGGGAGTCATCAAACATTCCCCGTTCCCTCCAACACACCTGGCTCAACTTACCCAAGCCTTGGATCCGAGGTCTTAGTGGCGGGTGGAGACAGAGGCAACGGGGGCTAGCCAAAGCGGGGTGGGCGCACGGCCAAGGGCGCGGCCCCTGCAAGTGCCCAGCGCCCCCCAGGCACCCCCGGGCACCACAGGTGCCTCACCTGGGCCTTCCCAACCGCAGGTACAGGGAAGCCAGACTCCGGCCCCCGCCCCCCACAGCCTGCAGGGCCTTCGGAGGAACCCCGGCCCAGGACACAGAGGGAGGAGGGGACACTCGGGCCGCGGCTCCGGGCCTCCTCCCGCGGCAGCTGCGCCCCCCGCGCCCCCCGCGCCCCTCGCGCCCCCCGCGGCTCCTCCGGGCCCTCGCAGCCCAGCCGCCTCCCCTCCGGCTCCCTCGGCCCTTCTTTCTGCCCGAGGATAAGGAATTCACACTCTTATCGTTGCCTCCTCCTCCCGCTCCGGCAAGTCAAACACCCGCCGGGCCCGCCCAGCCCGTAGGCCGCGCACACACAAACTCCCGTGAGGCGCGAGCGCGCGCGCGTGCGCGCAGGCCCACCCCGGCTCGTGCGCGCGTGCGCAGGCGTAGGTGCATGAGCGCGTCTCCAGCGACACGCGCCCCCGCCCTGGGCGTGGGAGGCCGCGGGGGCGCGCCTCGCTCCCGCCCGGCCCGGACCTCGACGGCCCGCGCGCGCCCGCGAGCTCCAGCTCCTCAGGCAGGCCGAGGAAGGGGGAGCTGGGGCTGCGCCTGAGCTGGGGGAACTCGGAGGAGGGAGACAGGAAGGCTGACGGGGTGGCTGGGACAGGGAGAGGGGAAAAAAAGGGACGGGTTTCTGGGCGGCGCCAAGGCTGCGAGGGGGCGCGGTCACCCACGACGAGGCGCAGGCGGCCACGTCCCCCACCCCTGTCGGGTGAAGAAGCCCGCCCCGGTTTGTCTTACACTCGCGGCCTCCAGACATGTCCGAAGTGAAGAGCCGGAAGAAATCAGGGCCGAAGGGAGTCCTCGCGGACCCCGGGCAGCGGAGCGAGGGCGGGAGGAACGCGGAGCCCCGGGGCGGCGGGCGCTGGGCAGACCCCCGCACGGGCCTCAGCCTCCTGTCGCTGGGGACGTGTCTGGGCCTGGCCTGGTAAGTGGACGCCAACGCCTTTTTCTACCCCCGGCCCGTCTCCGACCTCCTGGGTTCCCCCTTGCTTTTCTGAGCTCCGCGCCACATCAGCTTCCATCCGGCCATCCCTAACCGCCAGCCCCCCAGTCCAGAGCCTGCCGGTCGCAGGCCGCGACCACACAAGCAGGACCCTGCCCAACTTTGCATGTTCTTTGCCTTGTTTCTTGTAACTAACTCCGCCTCTCTTCTAACAAGTAGAGACTAACGTTTGGGCACAAGGTGGCCGTTCCGCTAAGATTTGCAGATGGAGACCAAACCTTGTTAAGAATCCAAAGTATTGACGCTGCCGTAAAACCGCTACTCGCTCTCGCTGGGTCCAGGACATCTGGGCCTCAGTCACCGGCCCCACGAACACCCGATGCAAACGTTGCAACCTTTAGAGTTCATTGTCTCCACGCAGCAAATGTTAATGATACCGAAGTTGGGGAGATTTCGAATTTCAACTCTTCCTAAAGTACTAAACTTCAATATGTATTGTAAAACTACAGAAATAGGTTGCTTGCCTTAAGATTAAGCATACATTAAATCCCAGTCTATATGAAATTGTACCACATAATTCAAAAGTTCAAAATAAAAATAGATTTTAAAAAAAACTAAACATACATAGTGCCAGAGTGATGGCTAATTTAGCCAATTTACTAATCTTTAATTTGCAAGCGCCGACATTCCCCCAAAGATGCCAGTTGTGTTCCAGCTGCTCTGTTTCCCATCCAGCTCTCTGCTGCTTGTGGCCTAGAAAAGCAGTGGAGGATGTTCCAAATACTTAGGACCCTACACCCATGTGGGAGACCCAGAGGAAGCTCCTGGCTCCTGGCTTTGGAATGGCTCAGCTCCGACCTTTGGGGCCATTTGGGGACTGAACCAGCAGATGAAAGATATCTTTCTGTCTTTTGATGGAAGATTTCCAGGGAGCTAATGTGCCTGGGAAACCAATGAAAATGGCCCAGATCCTTGGGTCCCCACCCCCACTTGGGAGACCCTGAGGAAGCTCCTGGCTCCTGGCTTCTAACTCACGCACCTCCTACCTTTGGGGAGTAAACCAGCAGATGGAGGATCTGTCTCCATTCTCTTATTTTCCTCATTTTCTTTAGGAATAATCTATTCCTTTTTATTTTTTTTTTAAAGATTTATTTTTATTATGTTCCTTGGAAAGGCGGATATACAGAGAGGAGAGACAGAGAGGAGAGACAGAGAGGAAGATCTTCTGTCCGATGATTCACTCCCCAAGTGAGCACAACGGCCGATGCTATGCCGATCCGAAGCCAGGAGCCAGGAACTTCTTCCGGTATCCCACATGGTTGCAGAGTCCCAAGGCTTTGGGCCGTCCTCAACTGCTTTCCCAGGCCACAAGCAGGGAGCTGGATGGGAAGTAGGGCTGCCAGGATTAGAACCGGTACCTATATGGGATCCCGGGGCATTCCAGTTGAGGACTTAGCCACTAGGCCATGCCGCCGGGCCCAATCTATTCATTTTAATAACAATTGATACTACAAGAGTAACAATTTGCCTCTGTTTCTCTCTCTCTCTCTCTCTTTTTTTTTTTTTTTCCTTTAGGAAGTCCTTTATTGCAACTGGGTATAAATGGGAGCAGGGGTGAAAGTGAAGAAAACTACAAGGACATGTTTCCTGCAGTGGTGGCAGAATGGGGGCTGCCAGGGCGGGGAAGGAGGCAGTGGAGGGCGGGAGAGGGAAGGTAAGAGAGAGGAGGCGCAGGTGGAGACTCATTTATACAACCAGGGGGCCTGGGGAATTGCTTGGGAGGAGGAGCTATGAGTGGGTCCCAAGGGACAGGTGACAGATTGAGCCTCAGGTAGGGGTTGGGGGGGGGGGTGTTGTCTGTGTTTTTCATCCCTTTGTGAAGTATTCAGGGGAGACAGCAGAGGTTTCTCCCTTCCAGAGACCCTGGGGGTCCTGGGGTCTAACACATCTTTAATGCTAGTACAGATTCAGTCATACTTAACTCATGACTCATTCCAAGTTGTGTATTTTCCAAAGTTTAAAAAAAATTGAAATGTTGATTATACATTCTTTTCAAAAATCTGTATCTTATTCATTTAGTACATGTTTATTGAATATTTTTATTTCAATCTGAAAAAAAAAGTATACTGGATTTAAATAAACTATTGCACCTTTGTTTAGATACTATTAAAAAAAAAACTTTATTTGGGGAAAGTTATTGCGGTAATAGACCTTAGACTAGAAGATACATTGCTGATTTTAGTTGCTTATTCTCTTCAGAAGCCAAAACTTCATAATCATATGAGATCCACCACATCAAACAATGTTCTTTTCAGTTCATTCCTTTCCTGGGGAAATGCTCCAATAGGAAACTAAACTTTTAAGGAAGTAAAACTTGAAAAGCAGATGCTTTAGTTCAGAAATGTACCATTCGAGTTTTTGTTGTAATTAACTACAATGACAAGCGCATGTTGCATTCATTAGTAAAATTAAATTTAAGATATATATATACAAAATATTAATGAGGAATCAAGGGCTTTTTAATGGACAGTTCTGTAATTTCTAAAATAGTTGACTTAGTTGCCGTTGGGAAATTTTTCCCAGTAGGAATTAAATTATGTATACATTTTGTACTTTGGCAAAATATTTATTCATGATCAACTTTGGAATCCAAATTTATCCTAGTAAGATATTTGCAAGCCACTTCCAAATTAAGATGTAGCACCTCTGAAAATGTTAAACTAAAGGCAAAGGAGTTTGGTCCGGTGGTTAGGTCATCCATTAGGAATGCTCACATCCCAAATGAAGTGCCTGAGTTCAAGTTCAAGTCCACATGGAATCCAGCCTACCACTGAGGCACACTCCAGGAGGCATTTCAATGGCTGCTTCCCGCAATCCTTGTGGGAGACAAGATCGGCTCTCTACCCTGGCTTTGTGGTCCAGCCCTGGCTGTTGCAGGCAGTTGAGCAAGAGACCAGTGGAAGGACGATATTTCTCTCATCCTTTCTCTCTTCCTCTCCCCCTCTCTTTCCATCCCTCCTTCTGTCTCCCTCCCCTTTTCGTAACTTAACGTCAAAAAAAATTTTAGGGCCCAGCGCAATAGCCTAGTGGCTAAAGTCCTCACCTTGAATGTGCCGAGATCCCATACAGGCACGGCTCTAATCCTGGCAACTCCACTTCCCATCCACCTCCCTGCTTTGTAGCCTGGGAAAGCAGTTGAGAATGGTCCAGCCCTTGGGACCCTGCACCTGCATGGGAGACTTGGAAGAGGCTCATTCTCCTGGCTTCGGACGGGCTCAGCTCTAGCCATTGCGGCCTCTTGGGGAGTGAACCAGTGGACAGAAGATATTCTCTGTTTCTCTTCTCTGTATATCTGACTTTCCAATAAAAATAAATAAATCTTTAAAAAAAATTTTTTTTAAACCATGCCACAATTATAACAAGACGTTGAGATCCAACAGCATACTTAACTAGTCTGTTGCCTCTGCTTGAGACGAATCTGGAAGAAAAGGCCAAATTCCTCAAAATAGAGGCACATACTTTCAGGCCATAATTATTTGTACTTCTTTTCTTTCCCTAGAAGCTGAACCCCTTAGCATATCAACCAGGATGCCAATTTGTGAAAAATGTTTTGAACTTCAAGCAGCCTTTCCATAGTGAATTCATATTTACTAATTAATATTTATCAATTAATTTATCAATTAATATTTATCAAACCCTTCACATAGTATCTGGCACGTGGGGGTGGGAAGTAGAATGTATTCTAACTCATCAGCACCACTCTTCAGTGCTTCTCATTGTCCGTGCTAAGTTGTCTGCTTCATTTTTCTTACATACACTATTCGTTTGTAGCAATAGTAAATTTTTTTCTTTTTATTACGAGAGGCTAACCATTTTAAAAACTATAACTAGTTAAATTTTTCACTAACATGAGAGTTTTTCTCAAGTTTATGCTAAATAATATATATTTGAAGAGAAAACCAGAGATTATTAAAATATAAAATCGGAAGTTCTGAATGTATTTTTGCAGTGGGTTACAAACTTCATTTTGAATGAGCTCCCTGACCCATAGGGTAAATTACAATACAGTTACACTGGAGAGTAATGAATGATAAATTTAATCCCAGAGATTAACTTTCTGTAAAGTGATCTTTGTCCTGGGTCTGTGTGCCCTGATTTCAGATAAACCTGTACTATTTAAAGAAAAAATAAAAGCCTCCAGGAATAAGAATAAGGAAGCCAATAAAGGTTAGGTCTACCCTTCTATCTTTGAAAATTACTATAACAGTGATTTCCAAAAACCAGGTTCTAAGTTCATACTGGCATGCACAACAAAAGATAACCTGTGTATTTCATAGGTTTCTAAGTATCACCTGTGATAGACAGAAGTTTCAAATGAAATTTATTTCATGTACCATTATAAACATTAGTTAGATCCCGTAGGGACGCCGGTTCTAATCCCCTGGCAGTCCCACTTCCCATCCAGCTCCCTGCTTGTGGCCTGGGAAAGCAGTCAAGGACGGCCCAAAGCCTTGGGACCCTTCACCCACGTGGGAGACCCGGAAGAGCCTCGGTGCTCCTGGCTTGGATGTGGGTTCAGGGGCCCAAACACGTGGGTTATCTTACACTGCTTTCCAGGATCGTTAGCAGGGAGCTGGATCAAAGTACAGCAGCCAGGACTTGAAGTGGTGCTCATATTGAATGTCACGGCGACTTTACCAACTTCATCTCAAATCCAGCCCTTCTCTTGTGTTGTTATACCTTATGGGTGCAAAGGCCAGCACTGAGCTGATCTGAAGCCACGAGGCCTGAGCTGCTTCCAGGTCTCCCACATGGGTACAGGGACCCAAGGACTTGGGCTGTCCTTCAGTGCCTTTCAAAGCCATTAGGAGGGAGCTGGTTGGAGAGCAGAGCAGCCAGGACTTGAACCGGTGCCCATACGCGATAGATTCTTACCCCAAGGCACTGTGCCAGTCCCACTTTGCAACTTCAAGTCACTGTCAACTCTCCTCCCTCCGACCCTCTGCTCCTCCCGGGACTACTGTTCCACATTTTATTTTTCAAATACTTTTGCTCTTTTTTCTTTTAAGATTTATTTATTTTTATTGAAAGGCGGATGTACAGAGATTAGGAGAGACAGAGAGGAAGATCTTCCGTCTTGTGGTTCACTCCCCAAGTGACCACAATGGGCTGGAGCTGAGCCCATCCAAAACCAGGAGCCAGGAACTCTTCCGGGTCTCCCACACAGGAGCAGGGTCCCAAGGCTTTGGGCCGTCCTCGACTGCTTTCCCAGGCCACAAGCAGGGAGCTAGATGGGAAGTGGGGCCTCTGGGGTTAGAACCGGCGCCCATATGGGATCCCAGGCTTGCTTGCAAGGCGAAGACTTTAACCACTATGCTATTGCGCTGGGCCCTAAAATATTTTTTAAAAATAGATAACTGGCTTTTCCCACATTTTAAACTATAAGAACATTTCCTAGAGGTTGCCTAAATGGGCTTGAGGAGAAGTAGTTAAGATCAAAGATTTTGTTCTGAATATTCTCAATAGTTTACTCTGTCTTCCTGCAAAGTTGTCTTGTGCATATATCTGATGCAGATATTGCACCCGCTTTCTCCCAGGAGTGCAAAGAATGAACAAGGGCATGTTGGATGCACCTTGGGGTGAGCTAAGCCAGTACCTACCCGTACTTGGCTGTTTGAATACTCATAAAATAAAAGATACATCTGCCTATGCAGAAATTCATTTTTTTTAAATCAGAAGCAGGTGTAATGCTCCTTTGAAATTCAGATTTAAATGGATATAAATTAGGCAGTAATGATTCTTTTTTTCCTTTTCTAGGTTTGTATTCCAGCAGTCAGAAAAGTTTGCAAAGGTACAAAAGCAGTATGAGTTACTGAAACTAGAAACCTCCGATTTCCAAGGACTACAAAGCAAAATCAAGTTACTTTCAGAAAAGGTAATGATCGATCGACTTATCTGGAAATGTTTTTTTTCTTCCCGACTGCCATTCCTCTGCTCCGGTCTTTCCTCCTGTGTTTTACACCACTTGTCTTAATTTGTACTGGTCTTTCTGCCTCTTCACATTTTGCTGCTTGTTCAGTTTAGATTCACACTGGACCTTGAAAGACAGGAGTTACCTCAGTAGCTTCTATCATTTAAAAAAAATACCTCATGTTCTTACTAACCGGATGTTCATTTTCTATGCAAGTGTCAGTTACCTAGACCCAGTAGTTGATCTCTAGTTATGAAATTGGGATATGAGGGCCTGGCACAATAGTAGTTAAAAGTCCTCACCTTGAACACATATGGGCGCCGGTTCTAATCCCAGCAGCTCCACTTCCCATCCAGCTCCCTGCTTGTGGCCTGGGAAAGTAGTCGAGGATGGCCCAAAGCTTTGGGACCCTGCACCCGTGTGGGAGACCTGGAAAGAAGTTCCTGGCTCCTGGCTTTGGATTGGCTCAGCTCTGGCTGTTGCGGCTGCTTGGGCAGTGAACCATCGGACCGAAGATCTTCCTCTCTGTCTCTCCTCTTCCCTGTATATCTGACTTTCCAATAAAAAATAAGTAAATATTTTAAAAAAAGAGAGATTAGGATATCAATAGCACTTACTAGAAAAATATCTATCAACTTACTTTCCATTTTTAAGGATATATACATATGCATATAAGAATAACTGGTCTAAAATAGTGACTTATTCTTTAGCCAAAAATAGTTCAAGTGAAAATTAAAATAATATCATGTCTATATTTTGTTTCTTGAAATTGCAAATGATAATTTCTACCAGGCATATTATTACAGTGACTGTTAAAAATATCAAATAAAAACCTTTTTTAACTCACACTTGCAGGGACAGGGTCAACTATAATCAACGAGGCATCACATGAACCTTTTCCAGCTATCTGAGATCAAACGGTCACTGGGAATCACGCTTGGTTCAGTCATCCATTCCTTAACTAAGTGTATTCATGTCATAAAGTGTGCCAGGGCTTGTACTTGGAAACACGGTGGGCAAGGACGTTACACTGGTAGGAGGTTTGGCCCAATGGCAGGATGCTGCTTGGAACACAAGAACCCCAGGCCGGGAGTGCCTGCCTTCCCTCATCTCGGCTTCATTGCTGATTCTAGCTTCCTGCCGACGCATACCCTGGAAGGGAGCAGGTGGTGGCTCTGCGGGCTGTGTCCCTGCCAGCCATTGTGCAGACTTGGTTTCCAGCCCCTGGCTTGCCATGACCTGCTCCTGGCCATTCAAAGGATCTAGGTTATGAACCTGCAGTGGAGAGCACTGATTTTCTCTCTCTCTCTTAAAACAAACAAACAAACAAACAAACAAACAAAAGACCACAAAAGTTTGTGGGCCCAGTGCTGTAGCCTAGTGGCTAGAGTCCTTGCCTTGCATGCCCCAAGATCCCATATGGGTGCAGGATCATGTTCCCCTTCCTGTTCCACTTCCCATCCAGCTCCCTGCTTGTGGCCCGAGAAAGCCGTCGAGGACGGCCCAACAGCTTGGGACCCTGCACCCTGGCTGCTAGCTTTGGATTGGCTCAGCTCCAACCATTGTGGCCACTTGGGAAGTAAATCATTGGACGAAAGATGTTGCTCTCTGTCTCTCCTCCTCTCTGTATATCTGCTTTTCCAATAAAAAATAATCTTAAAAATAATGTTTGTAGTTAAAACAGACACAGACGAAGTGGAAAGCCCAGCTCCCTGCCGCCACACGCACAGAATGAGCACGTGGTCCTCAGGGATGCCGAGCCAGCATCCCTCCTGGCCAGGGACGTCCCTGCAGGGGCCCAGGTGCTCATCGGAAGGAGTTGCTGCTTTGACCTATGTCACACCAATTTGGAGTTTGGTTGTAATTGTTGGGAGCACTCTACCTTATTGATATAAATCCAGGAACTAGAAACTTAATATACTCCGTTAGAAACTTAATTTGAGAAGATATTTTAAACCAAGTTAACGTTTCTTTTTCAATAAAAATCTTGTGACCTAATGTTTTTGAAGCAGAGTTTTAAAGTATCATGGCACACTCCAAGAAACATTCTTGGCCTGGCTCCTTTCTCTCCGTCTGCCGCGAGAGTGGGTGAAGCATAGCTGTCCTGTCGCACAGCGCCCTGCAGCTCAGCAGAGCGCGGGAGGAGGGCGGAGAGCAGCTGGTCATGCGCTCAGCGCCGTGTGTTCTCTTGGAGAAATCATGTGAAATCTTGGCCTCTATGTCATGATTTATTAAATAAGATTCCTGTAAGGATGAGGTATAATATCCATGCAAAGTCTGAGAACTTTCAAGCACTAATTTTTCTTTAAAGATTTATTTTATTTATTTATTTTACTGCAAAGTCAGATATACGGATAGGAGAAGACACAGGAAGGTCCTCGGTCCGATGAATCACTCCCCAAGCGGCCGCAATGGCTGCAGCTGAGCCAATCCGAAGCCAGGAGCCTCTTCCAGGTCTCCCACGCGGGTGCAGGTTCCCAATGCTTTGGGTTGTCCTCGACTGCTTTCCCGGGCCACAGGCAGGGAGCTGGATGGGAAGTGGGGCTGCCGGGACTTAAACCGGAGCCCATATGGGATTCTGGCATATAAGGCGAGGACTTTAGCTGCTAGGCTGCCGTGCCAGGTCCTTAAGCACTTAGTTAAGGTATTTGCTTTCTTAAAAAAAAAATGTAAAACTATTAAAATACATCGGCAGCCTCTAAATGCTAGTTACTCTGGTATACTATTTGCGGATTAATCACAGTGGAGCTCTGGGGAAAACCCAATTGGGAAGGTCCCTTTGGTAAAAACGAGCTTGCCTCTTCAGAATACTGCTCGGAAAGAACTAAACCGAGCAGTGTATGCGCTTCACCAGGAGTGTGCATCACAGCTATGTATGTACCTTCAAAATAATGTTTGTAAACAATGCTTCAGACTGTGCTTGTTATCTGGTCAGTGCGGACACATGCTGTTGCCCTCTGTCACCTGCGAGCAACTACTTCACTGGAACGGCTTATATCCAGGGTCCGTTTTTCCCCTAAACATCAACAAACTTGTCCTTGTACTCTAAAACATGAGGATTATGAAAAGTCATAAGACGTGGTCTCTGGTGCTAGAATTGTGGCATAGCATGTAATGCCACATCCAGTTCTCTGCTTGTGGCCTGGAAAAACAGGGGAGAATGGCTCAAAGCCTTGGGACCCTACACCTACGTGGGAGACCCAGAAGAAGCTCCTGGCTCCTGATCAGCTCAACTCCAGCCATTGTGGCCATCTAGGGAGAGAACCAGCAGATGGAAGATCTTTCTCTGTCTCTCTTTCTTTTTGTAAATCTGCCTTTGCAATAAAAAGAAATATTTATGGGTCCTGCGTGGTGGCCTAGTGGCTAAAGTCCTCGCCTGGAAAGCACCGGGATCCCATATGGATACCAGTTCTAATCCCGGCAGCCCCGCTTCCCATCTAGCTCCTTGCTTGTGGCCTGGGAAAGCAGTCGAGGACCGCCCGAAGCTTTGGGACCCTGCACCTATGTGGGAGACTTGGAAGAAGTTCCTGGCTCCTGGCTTTGGATTGGCTCAGTGTTGGCCACTGTGGCCACTTGGGAAGTGAATCAGTGGATGGAAGATCTTCCTCTCTGTCTCTCCTTCTCTCTGTATATCTGACTTTCCAATAAAAATAAATAAGTCTTTTTATAATTTTTTAAATAATATTTAAAAATGAATGAATAAATAAATAAATCATTTTTGTAAAGTCATGTCCCTTCACCTAAAGGATTTAGATAAGGGCCGGGCCTGGACCAGGCCCTAACCAGGAGCCAGGAACTCAGTGTCACGTGGGTGACAGGAATCCAAGGACGTGGGCCAGTGTCTGCTGCCTTCCAGGTGCATCAGGAGGAAACTGGATCAACAGAGGCAGTACTCAGCCCCAGGCCTCCATCAGCCGTTTAACCCACAACACCTTCCCCTCAACTGTATTTTTAGCCCATTCTTGCCTTTGTAAAATTAGGCTTCTAGTAAATAAAAGAGGTTGTTCAAGACTTTTTTTTTTCAAACAGGAACTCCTTAAGTATTTAGGAAAGTAGCAAATTTGATACTAAGTTTCAATTTGTAAAAAGCTAAATAATCATTTTTTTAAAAAGCCATGTAAGTTAATTTTATAGGAGAAAAAAAGAGAGGAAAGTAATTTACCTCAGGCTCTGTAGCATTTATGCCTCCATGAAAATGCACAAATGTCGAAGATTCAGCTGTGTATTTTCCTAAAATAAAATTTGTGAAGAGAAAATCCTGTTTGTTGCCAGTATAATTGTGATAGACGTGGATATCTTAGACATCCTCAGACTCTGAAGCCAGCAGATTGTCCTGCCGAGTGTTGAAGCACGTTTCTCTCATGCAAACATTATTAAGTAGCCTTGGGAATTGTTTTGTGTGTTGCAAATACAGCTTGAGTCTACTGAGAGTACCCTGCAGGAAGCTGCAGCGTCCGCGTCTTTGCTGACCCAGTTTGAGCAGCAAGTTTCCAGCCTCCACAGTGCCATGCACGGCGTGCAGGACGCTGAAGAAGCGCTCAGCCAGAAGATGCAAAAGCTGCAGCAGAAGCTCCAGAATAGTACCGATTTCTGGAAGAGAACGCTGGAAGAAATGAATGTGAACACAGACACGTTCAAGTCAGAAGCCAAGCAGATACATTCTCAAGTCACTGTCCAAATTAACTCAGCTGAGCAAGGGATAAAGCTGCTCACTGAACGGCTCCGAGATTTGGAAGACAGCACACAAAGAAACATTAGAACAGTGCAACGACAAGAGGAGGAAGACCTTCTGAGAGTGGAGGAGCAGCTTGGCTCCGACAGCAAAGCAGTGGAGAAGTTACGAGAGGAGCAGCACGCGCTGCTCGCCAGGGATGAGGATCTCACTCATAAACTGGCCGACTACGAGCCCCGAGTGGAGGAATGCAAGGCGCACCTGCCAGCCATCGAAGATGCTATTCGCTCCATTCTCAGAGTCTCTCAGGATCTGCTAGGAACAGAGAAGAAAATGGAAGACTTGACCCTGCAGATGTTCAATATGGAAGATGACATGCTGAAAGCCGTATCCGACATCATGGAGATGCAGAAAACCCTGGAGGGAATGCGGTATGACAACAGCATACTGAAGATGCAGAACGAACTGGACGTCCTCAAAGGAAAAGTTCGACATTTTGTAGCGTATTCAAGAGAAAAGGGGACTTTAGAAGGTCATAACCTAGAAAATAAAGAAAGTGCTGACGACTTCTAAATTCCCCACGTTTACTCTGGTGAGCCCCATCCTGTATTAACCTGACGAAGTCCATGTTTTTCAGCTTGCAGACGCCTCATTCTATCCTGCACTATTGGAAACCGCGATCTCCAGCACATGGACTGGCCACAGCGTTTCTCCTTTTAAACTCTCCAAGTTTCATTTTAACCACTTGAGATAGAAATTATTCTAAAATATATTTCTTTTTAGAACAATACACTTAATATTTTTAAAACATTTTTCTAATAGCTAATGGATTTTATTCTGAATTTTGCTTGTTATATTGGACCCAAGTAAGTGCTGACGCAAGGAACTATTGAAGAATTTTCACTATTTCATTAAGTTGCTGTTTTTCAAGCCTATGTCCATTTGTTATACCATTTCTGTCAACTTGTTTTGCCGTTGGATTGGGCAGTAATGTGCCAGTCGCAGCCAATTCTTCTCGTCCCTCTGTAATTCACTGCGAGATAAAAATCCTTACAACCCAAGTTTACAGGAATTTTGTCCAAAATAAAACATAACGAGGGAGAGCCCGGCGGCTGGGCTGTGTGTTACTGTGCACTTTCTCAAAAGCATGAACCCTGGGAAATGCTTTACTTTTTATTAAGGTTCTAAACTGTGTTAAAGACACCAGTACAACTTTTTTTGGTACAATTCAGTTTGGACTTACGTAAGACCTTCCCTATGAATTAAATGTTTTATGAACTTTGGGAATATCTTCACAAACTTGGGCTTTTTTTTTTTGAAGTTCTAAGCTTAGAGTCTTGAGTTTGCTAAATAACAAACTCTATATAAACTGGCCTTGTCAACATAAAAATACAGCAGCAAACTTACAGCATATTTTAGAAGAAAACACAGCAACATAATAAATGGAGACAAATATGATAACCGAAAGTATGTCAATAAAGATTCCTCAATCTGTGGAAGTAAATCTATGTTACATGCTTTCTTTAATTCCTGAGAATGGAATGTGGTGAAGCACACTCAGGGGTTCCAGCCTGGCTGGTTTCTCGGTGCTGGCCAGCACCCACGGGTATAGTAGTTGCCGTGGATGTAGAGCACTCGAAAGCGTCAGTTATGATCAGGTGATCTTGGTGGACCTGCAAGTTTTGAGAAACATCCCAAACAAGCCGTATGTCGGAGGTAAAGGTGCTAGGGTGTATATCCTTACGCTATACAGATAGCCCTACTATTAATGAATGTAGCGTTAAGTTCTGCAGTGTTAATTCTCGAATTTCCTGACTTAGATCAATGTGCACCAACAGAAGTGCGCTGCCTTTGCTGCTAGTGAAACAGATCATGATGTTAGCTCTCTGACCATGAACTTAGGAAGATTATGAAGATCATGAAGTTACTTTGTGTTTTTTCTTTTTTTTTAAAGATTTATTTTTATTATTTTTTTTATTGGAAAGGCAGATGTACAGAGAGGAGAGACAGAGAGGAAGATCTTCCGTCCGATGATTCACTCCCCAAGTGAGCGCAACGGGTCGATACTATGCCGATCCGAAGCCAGGAGCCTCTTCCGGGTCTCCCACGCGGGTGCAGGGTCCCAAGGCCCTAGACCATCCTCGACTGCTTTCCCAGGCCACAGGCAGGGAGCTGGAAGGGAAGCGGGGCTGCCGGGATTAGAACTGCCGCCAATATGGGATCCCTGCACTTGCAAGACAAAGACTTTAGCCACTAGGCTACTGCACCGGGCCCTACTTTGTGTTTTAATTTCCATTTTGCAAGGACAGATGTGGTCTCTTTTTTTTTTTTTTTTTTTTTTTTTTTTAAGAAACTCAGATATACAGACAGGAGACGAGACAGAGAGGAAGATCTTCCGGACCCAACATCTTTTAAGAAAATTGCCTGTATTCTAGAGCTTGGCGTGGTACCCTAGCAGCTAATTTCCTCGCCTTGCATGCACCAAGATCCTATATGGGTACGCTAATCCCTGTGGCCCCGCTTCCCATCCAGCTCCCTGCTTGTGTTCTGGGAAAGGATGGCCCAAAGCCTTGGGACCCTGTACCTGTGTTGGAAACCAGGAAGAGCTCCTGGTTCCTGGCCTGGGATCGGCAAAGCTCCAGCCATGTGGCTGCTTGGGAAATGAATTAACAGATGGAAGATCCTCCTCTCTGTATATCTGACTTGCCAATAAAAATAAGTTTAAAAAGGACACATTCTTGTATTTTGGTAATTACTGATTAACATCCTGTCAGTTCTAAGGCAGGCCTTTGGTGCAGCTATTAAGATGCCACTTAGGACAGACACCAGTTCCCCGTCCAGCTTTGTGCTGCTCAGCATCCTGCAGGCAGCAGGTGATGGCTGAAGTGTGGGGTCCCTGCTGGCAGCCACGGACACCCACGCTGAGGCTGCTGTTCGCAGCTTGGCACGGCCCCAGCTCTTGGGAGCAGTTGAGTAGTGAACTAGTAGCTGGCAAAAATATCCTTCAGGCTGTCTCTATCCCCCTGCCTTGCAAAGTAGCGGTTGAAAAAAAAAAAATGAAACTGCAATTTCCAGACTATTACACTATATTGAATTTCTATAACAGGAAAGATCAAGAGAAGTTTGCAATAAGCCACAATGTGAAACAAAGCGGTTTACCAGCCTCCCTTAGAAGGATCAGCTAAGCGCTCTGAAGTGCTGTAATTGTACAGTGCTCTTCAGCTACGTTTATTCTACCACAATGAATTATTAATAAATTATGGCCCCCAAGTCAAAGAGATAGAAATGTGGTAACTACCCCACTCACCGTGGAGACTTCAGCAAACACGCTCCGTTACAGAACTTTTTGAACAATTAGCAATCATTAATTTGTTTCCTTCCTTTTTAAGGCTACACTTCAATGTCCTATCCTACAATACAGTTTCTCGAAAACTAATTTCTCTACCAAAAAAATAGTTTGAATTCCTTCCTCCAGTTAATAATTAATGTAGTATAAATCTATTAAGGAGAGAAATCCTAAAATATGCTTTAAACCAAATATATACAATAGGCAAGGAGGAGATTGCTACTTTTAAAAAATATTTGTTTTTTTAATTGGAAAATTAGATATACAGAGAGGAGGAGAGACAGAGAGAAATATCTTCCATCCCATTATTCACTTCCCAAGTGACCGCAATGGCCAGTGCTGTGCCAATCCGAAGCCAGGAGCAAAGCGCTTCTTCCAGGTCTCCCACACAGGTGCAGGGTTCCAGGGCTTTGGGCCATCCTTGACTGCTTTCCCAGGCCACAAGCAGGGAGCTGGATGGGAAGCAGGGCCGCCAGGACACAACCAGCGCCATTTGGGATCCTGGTGTGTGCTAGGCAAGGACTTTAACCACTATGCTACCGTGCTGGGCCTGAGACATTGCTACTCTGAATTAACTATTGTACTGTCCCTTTCCCTCCCTTCACTGTAATTTTTTCTGAACTATTTAAAATTAAAACTGTTTGTAACTATTTAAAGTTAAAATTGCCATCAAAATAATATTCTGAGCATATTGTGCTTTTATTTGCACTAAGGTAAATTTATGATAATAAAAAAATCTCAGAAAGTTAGTTGAATAAGCTAAATTCAAGAAAAATAACTCACAAATAACTTCTAAATACTTCTAAATATTTCTAAATAAATTTCTAAGTATGCTTTAGAAAAAACACTATCTTTAAACTACAAATTTTAACTTTATACTCATGTTTTGAAACTTGCATATTTTATTTTGAAGTCTTTGTTTTGTATTTTACATTATCCATGTATTGGCTTTCTATGTGCCAGACTGTACTACAGACTCTTGAAAAATGCAGGCTTTTCTGTTTCTGAATTTTTATAATCATCTTCTTCGAAAGGTAGAGAAGTTGCCTCCACTGTTCACCCCCCAAGGCCTGCCGCAGCTGGAGCTGGGCCGGGGACTCACTGGCTCTCTCGCTGGGATGGCAGGGACCCAGGCACTCGTTCTGCCTGCCAGAACTCAAACCTGGCACAGTGGCGTGGGATGCAGGGGTCCCGAGCGGCATCTTGACCTTCACAACCTGCACCTGCTGCCCTGCACCTTTTCAAAGGTTTAATTTGTTTTCACTTTATTTGAAAAGCAGAGATGGAGAAGAATCTTTTACTTTAAAACAATCTCTTTCTGGAAAGTGGACTGAAAGTCTCCCAAGGACGAGTGGAGCAGTTACCACATTCCATCTCCTCGATTTGGGGGCCATAGTTTATTAATAACTCATTCTGTAGAGTAAATGTAGCTTTTTAAAAACAAACAATTGACTTTCACATTATAAACAAGATACCCCTTCCGGAGTCATCACCACCCTTGGCCATCTATTTGCATCAATTTACATTTGTGTTTATTTTTCCTCATAGTTGAACACAGAATCCATAGGCTGAAGTTAATTTTCCAGTTGAACCAAATAGCCCCAACTGACCAATTTCCATTCTTGGCTTAATTTTTAACTTTATATTGTTTATTGGATCTACCCATCTTATCACTAGACTCAATTACATTTTTCCCTTCCTTTCTTCATTTTGTTAACCATACTTTAAAATTTCCAATATTCAATATGTAATAAAATACAGTTTCTCCAAAGTTGCATTCACACACACACAGACACACAGAGCCCAAAACCCATCACTATCACCACCAACAAAAGCAACTTTAAATGCTGCCAGGCCCAATATATTCATCAGCTAGTATGTTCAAGTTAAAACTGAGTGGCAATTTAAAGATGTCAGGATGATAATGTGTGCGTATGTTTATATATCAGAGTGCACCGTAAGTGTGTTACTGAAGCTAAAATAAAAGCTTCCTTCCCAAGTCTAGCACAGCGTATGTACAGACTTCCACCTCCTTTTCCCAGCACCTGAGCAGCGTGTCCGTCCCGTTTAGCTTATTTTGTTATTGCACAGAGGGCTTATGGTTCAAAAACAACAATGGAATCACTTCTCAGCTTTCTGACTCAGATCAAATGTAAAATGATAAGAGGAAAAAAAGGTTAATAGCCAGTAGCATTTTATGAAATGTCTTTATTGTTTTGCTTCTTACTCATTAGCAATGCACTTAAGCTGTTCTAAAGGATCTTGCTCTTGAAGCATCTTTTAACTTAAACTTTCCCAAAGAGCAGTGACGTTGTAGTTAACACATTAAATTGAAGTTGAATTGTGTTCGGCTTTTTAACAGATTTAATCATTGTGGTATTATATTTTCTCATAGTGTCAAAAATCTGAAGCTATCATGGAACAATTGAAGTCTTTACAAATAACTGCTCATCTAACGCGTCTACAGGAGGAAATTAATGAAGTAAAAAGTTGGTCCAACAGGATAACTGAAAAACAGGATATTTTGAGCAACAATGTGACAGCTCTTTCTCAGGACATTACCGAGGTAGACCAAAGGACAGCTTCCTTGGCAAAAGATGTCGGTGTCAAGATGGCAACTGTAAAGACAGACATACGGCGCATTTCGGGTTTGGTGACTGATGTGACATCATTGGCCGATTCCGTACAAGCTCTGGAAAGTAAGATAGAGACAGTGGAGGAGGACACAGTGAAGAGCATAGGCGACCTTCTCTCGAGTAGCATCGACCGGACGGCAGCCCTCCGCAAGACGGCGTCTGAAAACTCGCAAAGGATTGCCTCTGTGAGGGAGGCGCTTGCCGAGCTGAAGCATGACTTCAACAGGCACACAGACAGATTCTTAAGCTTAGAAAGCGACAGAGCTAAAGTTCTGAAGACAGTGACCTTTGCGAATGGTCTAAAACCAAAGGTATACAATCTAAAGCAGGACTTCGCCCGCTTGGAACCGCTGATCAACGACCTGACGCTCCGCATCGGGAGACTGGTTACCGACTTACTACAAAGAGAGAAAGAAATTGCTTTCTTAAATGAAAAAATATCCAATTTCACACTAGTCCGGGCTGAGATTAGTGATATCAAAGATGAAATAACACACATTTCAGATATGGATTAGTTTGGCATTTAGACTAGACTAAGGTGGCCTTTTTAAAGGTAGGAACAATGTTATATATGGAAAGACTGATCAGAAACAATGATATTTGGGAAAGAATACATTTTGTATTTGATTGTTTTTATAGTAAAAATAAATGTCTTAACACTTTATTTTCCAAAATAAATGCACTTGCAACTTTATAGGGCAAGAACCTTATCCATACCCCGACATACATGCGCTTAGACAGTCACACACATGCACACACACATACATGTGCACATGAACACACACATACATGTGCACATACAAGTGGGGGAAGGCACAACGTGCCTCAACAGCCTTGATGGGGTGGCGGTACCTGAACGCTCCCTGGCCCTCAGGAAGCAGGCTGTACAACAAAGTGCCATAAACTGGCAACCTAAACACCAGAAAAAATTCTTCTCTAGAGCCAGGATGTCCAAAGGCAAGGTGTCAGCAGCCCCGCAGTATCTGGTGCGGGCTTTGTGGTTCACAGTGTCTGCAGCCATTCCTCACAGCAGCTTTCCGGGTCCCCTATTCCAAGGGGACTGACTAATCCCATTCCTGAGGGCTCCTCCGGCTTGACCCATCACCCTCTTAAGACCATCCAATTAGTTACTAGTGTTTAGCAGAGGAATTAGGGGCAGACCCACAAGCATTCTAGACCCTAGCAAGTACGTTGCCTCAATTGGCATTAGGGCAGTGGCATCCAGAGAGCTAGTTAGAAATCAATGGACGGAAGATCTTCCTCTCCGTATCTCCTCTGCATATCTGACTTTGCAATAAAAATGAATGTTTTCTTTTTTTAAAGGCACTTAAAAAATGTTAAGAAAAAAATTCCCAAAGCAGGCATTGTGACACAGCCTCCCATCAAACCATAGGTTTTGGACAATCGTGGCTCCTGGCTTTGACCTGGTCCAGTCTCGGCTGTTGCACACATCTGGGGAGTGAACCAGAAGGTGGAAGACCTCTCCATCATGCTGCCTTTCAAATCTTCCTTAAAACATTTCAGCTAAGAATATTCCTCTCAGTGCCAAATAAATAAAATCACTCATCTGACTTGGTCCTAGATCTGCTCATCATTATTGAAATAATGGCTCAGAAATCTATCACTGCTATTTGGTAGCCAGGCTGAGGAATTTTCTTGATGGAACCACCAAATACAGAACGTCTCTACATTAATTATTTGATTTCAGGATTTTGCCTTCAAGTCAGATTTTGTAGCAAACATAAAGCAACAAAAAACTTCAGATCTATCTCCCAATAGTAGAAAATATAGTTAGTAACTTGAGTAATAATATAGGGTTTGTTTTTTTAAAAAAAGATTTATTTTATTTGAAAGGCAGAGTTACAAATAGAGAGACTCCCCAGATGAATGCAACAGCCAGAGCTAGGCCAGAACAAAGTCAGGTGGCTCACATGGGATACCAGTTGTTGTAGGGCAGCGTGATAAAACAGGTAACAATAGATATGACTTTGAATGGGCCAGTCATCTGATGATTGGTGTTTTCCCTGTTATGTTCCTGCTTATTATTTAAAGTCTAACTATGTTGTCAAGAATAATTTAAAAAGTAATAATTCATAGAATACAACATACTTATTAATGACTTTGTGATATAGCAATTTTAACATTGGTTGATGGAGGCCTCTGGTGTCAAGATAATGGATCTTGCAATATCAGCACCTTCAAGACTGCAAAACATTGCATTCTGTCAAGAATATTCACATATTAAACAGTAATTGTTATTACATGTTGTATAGGAGACACATCCCCAAGTCCTTTCAGTCAATACAGCAAGACTTTAAATAACTATTGTTTGCATGGCACTTGGGGCTTTGTTGGAATAGATGCTTTCTAGGGAACTTGTCAGTTCATTTAAACCCAGATTAACGTCTTAGTTCTGTGAAGTCATGGCTGGCTTGTAGATTACTCAACAGATAATACCAGAGGTAAGGAACTATCAAAAGTTAAGTCAACCTTTTAATACACGTTATTATTTGGTATAAGCACAGCATTCACTAGTGAACTACCAGTTGCTCTCATCAAAATTTCTTTACCACATGGCTTCTGAGATGTAATTTTTACCTCATTAATTTAAAAATTGAGTAAAAATGTAATCATTGTCTGAGAAGCCACATCTGTCAATCAAGCAACAAGGCTGTCATGTACCAAACTTCATTGTGGAAACTTCTCTCCAAAAATCAATGACTTTAAAATAGGATCAAACTTTCCACACACTGGAAATGGTCACACTGTTAACTTTTGGGTTGTTTTATTCTACCCATCAGCACCCAAAGCCAAGCTAACCCGAGTTGTAATCCATGTCTCTGGAAATTACACAATGCACCACTGTATGGGAGATAACACTTGATACTTGTTAATGGCCTGGGATTGTGGCACAACAAGTTAAAACACTGCCTACAAGGCCAGCATTGTCTACAAGACTGCCAGTTCAAGTCTCAACTCACTTCTGCCTCCCGAGCCTGGGAGGCAGCCAATGAAAGGAAGTACTTGAGTTCCTGCCAGCCACACGGGAGCTGGATCCAGCTGGACCACTGCTCTGGATGCTGCAGGCAGTACGAGTAAACAAACAGTGCCTAGATCCTTATTCTTTCAAATAGTTTCTTTAAGGTAAAGCCTAAGTTGTCTGGTATTTGCCACTGTTAACAACCAGTAGTATGGTGAAAGGCTGTATGACTTTCCAGGTCAAGTCCTACAAATACCAGCCTCGGCTTCACTAGTCACAACTTGGCTTACTTCAGAATTCCAATTCTATAATTTCATGATTTTGTACCTGCAACCTTTTCTCTGGAGCACGGGAAAAATAAGGTTGGAAACTTGAGAGCATGTAATGATTGAAGTTAGCATGAAGGAAGACACAACTGGCTTCTAATCAGTGTCCTTCCTATGTGAAGTATGGAGGCTTGTTCCCCACCTGAATATTTTAAATTATCAGTTCATTCTGAATACTATACCAATGAGGCTTAAGGGCAAACTACAGTGGATATTTTTCTAAACAACTTTTTAAAAAAATATTGAAACTTAAACCTTTATCACCAAATCTCAGATGTCAAATTTTTAAAATCAGATGTCTGAAGCCAGGAGCTCCCTTGGGATCTCCCACTGCTAGTTTCCCAGGCTACAATACAAGCAGGGAACTGGATGAGACACATACTGGCACCCAAATGGGAGCACAGTGCTTGCAAGCACAAGATGTATTTTCACTGGAAAAGCAGACCAGAATTAGAGGTTCAAGCTCCTAAGGCTACAATGGCAACAACTGATCTGAAAGCCAGGCGTTTCTTCCCGGCCGCCTGTGCAGGCACAGCATCCAAAGGCTTTGGAACGTTGAGTGTCCTCTACTGCATTCCCAGGCCATAAGCAAAGAGCTGCATGGGAAGTGGGACAGCTGGGATACGAACCAGTACCAAATAGGTTCCCAGTGTTTGCAAGGTGAGGATTTAGCCATTGCACCAGGTTCCCAAGCATGCTAGTCTTAAAAATGAAATTGTTGTGCCCGGCATGATAACTAGAGTCCTTGCCTTGCAAGTGCTGGGATCCCATATGGGTGCAGGTTCTAATCCCAGCAGCCCGGCTTCTTCCCATCGAGCTCCCTGCTGGTAGCCTGGGAAGGCAGTCAAGGACAACCCAAAGCCTTGGGACCCTGCATCTCAGCTCCAGCCACTGCAGCTGAACTTTTAGCTGCAATGGTTGGGTAACTTCAAAGTATTCTAAATTCAGCCTAATTTGGTTAAATGAATTAGAAGTATAGCACATACTACAAAAAGTCCAACTCAAGATTAAATGTAAGTACAAATTGAGTATCCATAATCATTTCCAACTACAATTAAATCAAGGTTTTGGACATTTAGGACATAATTTTTACATATACAAGAGCTTGTGACAAAACTTGAAGCTTGACAACTTCTGAGTAAGGACTAGAATATTCACGCACTAACAGCTTGAAATGCACACTAAGTTTTTCCCAATTATTTTAGGATTAAATCCTGTAATAACAACTAGTTTTGTTTCATTCTTTGAAGATCCGTTTTTATTACAAAGGTAAAATCACACACCAGAAACAAAAATCTTCCATTTTCTGGTTCATTCCCCAGATGACAATGGCCGGAGCTGAGCCAGCCTGAAGCCAAGATCTAGGAGCTTCCTCCAGGTCTCCTACATGAGTGCAGGGTCTCAAGGCCTTGGGCCGTCTTCCCACTTCCTTCCCAGGCCATGAGCTGGGAGTTGAATGGGAGTAGCGCAGCCAAGACACAATCATATGGGATCCCAGCACTTACAAGTGTTAAGACTAATCAACTGTCATCACACTAAACTGTCCACGGTGCAGCCAGTTGAGCCTCTACCTGAAGTGCTGCCATTCTACATGCATATGGGTCCAAGTCCCAACTGCTCTACTTCCTAGTTGCCTGCTAACGCACCTAGGACATCACGGGAGATGCTCCCAGTCCTAGAGCTCTCACATCGTGTGGAGACCTGGACAAGCTCCAAAGGTAGGGCTTTGCACTGGCCCAGCTCTTGCTTTTGTGGCCACTTGGGGAGTTCACCAGCAGATGGAGGATTTCAATCTGCCTTTCAAATTAAAAAAGCATTCCTTCAAAAATAACTTGACAAGTCAGACAAATCATGAACAGACAGGTTTATTTTAATAGTAAGTTTGAAACTCTTGCCTTAAGCAAGGGTACTACAGTAATTATATCAGGAATAGACAATTTTCTACACTGTCAATATATAAAAGTTCTTCCTTTTGCACTTTCAACACTGATCAACAAGCAGATTCAGTCCACATGTGCTTTGATCTGTCTACTGCGTTAACCCAAGCTTCTTCTTCAGAGACTCTGGCATCTCGGGGGGCGGGGGGCGAGGCAGCCTGAAGTAGACCTTCACCGAGTCGTAGATGAACCACTGCAGGGCAGTCAGAGTCCCAATCATGATGATGCGGGCAAAGAGTCCCTTCCACACACCTGGGCCACACAGAGAAGACAGATGAGAGACTGCAGGGCCAAGGTATCCCGACGCACTGCTCCTCGGAGGAACAATAACACCCGCCTACCTCTGAAGCCGAGCCTCTGGAGAACCTGAGAAGCACTGCTCCCCTTCTCCTTATTCAACACAGACACCACGGAGTCGGCAGGGTGAGACACAATCGCACAGAAGACGCCAGCTGAGAAACGTCAAGGAAAAGGATTCAATACAGGGTTAAAGATGTCACTCTAGTCAGCAACTGCCTCATGACTTCACATTATGGTCAGCACTTCCTCTTGTATTACAGAACATAAGCTTTACCAAAAAAAAAAAAGGCAGAGCTAACCATAAACAATCCTTTCAGAAAATAATCAGAGTACGAATCCACAAAGCCCACGAGCATTGTAAGCTTCACATACAACTGCGTTCTAAAGAATCCATACCTATGTAACCTGCAACAAATGTTACAACCAGCTGTTCTGCCTTTGTACATTCACTTCGGGGCTTAGGAACCACAAACTTGTACAAGGCTTCCACAGTGCGTTCAAAGCAGGCAAACTTCATCATGGTGTAGGGGATCTGCCTCATCCAGAGCGGAGCAACGCCTTTGTAGAACCTAGGCAATAAAGAACCCACTTAGCCAGCTGCAGAGACTCATCTAGCAGCATTTCAACATCACACGAGTGTCCGCGCACCAGTCTGGTCCTGACAGCACCAACTGACATCACAGCCGTATGCCATTTCCATCAGAACGTTCGACTAGCAAGCAGGTGTACTTCTCTCACATGCCAATGACTCAAGCACCTTTGACTGTACAACCAGAAAAGTTGCCGGATGTCTCTATAACTGGAACTACAAGAAACGGGACGTTTACCAGTAGAACTCAGTTTAAGATTCATCCACAAAGGCGGATCTAAGGAAGCATGTTGTGGCCTAGGACTAGACTGCACTTCCGAATAGTACAAGGTCACGCCAAGCAGACTAACAAATAAACGACTCTTTAGTGGTAAAAATGCCAACTCAAGGCTCAACAACGCACTGACTTATCTTACCAGAGTTTATGCTTCATATACAGGAACTGGAATTTATATGATGTTATTAATGTTAATTAAATGTTTTAGTGTTTTTATTTCATGATATTTTATGTATTTAAAAAATGCAAAACTCTGGTAGGCTTACTGCTAAAAAATGAAATACCCTCCAAAGCAAATATTTTTAATACATTCAACTTAAGACACATATTTACTTACGCTTTCAGGCCTTCCTCCTTATACATTTTGGGAGCTGCATCCCTCAAAGTGTTGGCATAACCTGGTTGGGTTTGAATTCGGACCTTGGCAGCTTCCATAGGAGCCAGGGCAATGTCAGCAAAGAATTCAGCACTGGCAGAGGCGGCCAAATACAGCGACGTGCGCCACAGATAGGAATTCTCCTACAACACACAACAGACAGAGGGAGAGGAATTGTTCCATTGGCTGTCTTCAATTGAACTTTATCAGTTCTCAGAAACAACTGAACAGCAGACACTTTAACATCACAGTCCATGGACAACGACATTAGACTGAATATGTTTTCATTCGTCAGCTTAACCTTAAAACAATGTGAACATTTTTTTGAACACCTAGGTGTTAACCATATGTATAATTCCTAAGCGAAGGAATACTGAGCCCTTCTCCTAAGGATAAAACCCTCAACACTAAATTTATGTAGCAAGCAACATAGCATAATGCAAAAGCAGTGAAATTTAATGAAATACACCTTGTTCTTCACCCTGACAAAACAGTCTTACGAACTGAAGCAGGCTGCTTACTCTTCCTGGAACCATTTCTCCACAAAAACATCCAAGATCCCTTTTGGTCCTCAACTCTGAAAATTCTCAGGACTTTCAATTTCAGTTACCTCTCCAAGCATGTTGCTGTACAGGACTTTGAAGACTTCATAAAAGCCAAACTTGCAGAGCCCCTGCATGGAGTAGCCAATGAAAGTCGGGGCCCAGCCTTTAGCCAGACCACGGACACCATCCTCTTTGAGTGTCACCGAGAATCCATTAAATATGCCCTTATACTTCTGAGGGTCCACCTTCATTTAAAATAAGAAAACAAATCAGTCAGATACAAAGAGTTTACACTTCTCATATACAGCTTCATTACATTTTTGACTTAAAATAAATTTCAGTAACAAATGTACCTTTTGTAACTATCTATGATTATATTTAAAATGGAAAATAAGATTGAGCTTTAAATCAAACTAGCTCTTAGAGGGATAGTTAAACACAAAACTATAGATGGCTCAACAACTCCCAAATTCCATTCAACAGTCCATTAAGTTTTATGAATGTCAAACTAAAAAAAGCTACACTAACACAGTAAGAATCTTAAGAAATGCAAGACACAGGCATAAAAGGTTTCAAAAGCTCATTATCTGTCGGTACCAGAAGGGATGGTATGGCACCAGCACTATGGGGAAGTGCTGCTGGCATTCCATATCGGCACTGGCTAGAGTCCCAACTGCTGTAACTTCCAATCCAGCTACCTGCTAATGTACCTGGGAAAACGGCAGAGGATGACCCAAATGCGTGGGTCCCTGCACCCACATGGGAGACCCAGAAGTTCCTGGTTTCAGCCTGGTCCAACCCGGGCTATTGCAGCCTTTTAGGGGAGGGAACCAGCAGATAAAACAGCTCTAACTCTTACCTCTCAAGTATACAACCATAAAAATAATCGGGGCTGGGGGGACTGGTATACATCACCTTCCTCTCTCTCCCTCCTAATATTTCACCTTCCTTTCTTAGTAGACTTCTAATCCTGTTTGGGACAAATTTTTGATGTTTTATTATTTCTGCTTCAATATGCCTAAGTAAAAGACTAAATTATAAGAAAACTTTTATGCAAACACACATACAAGGATAAACCCATGAAATCTTCCTATAAGATGTGATGTGCCTTTGAAGTAAGTATATGCTCACTGCCCTGGTCTGGATGGGGACATTTACTACTTCAAATAACACATAAGCAAACCTGACTACCACTGTGCCATCTAACTGCCTAGGACTATTTAAGGGCACAAGACACTAGCAGGCTTTAAGCAGAAACTCTAGCCCTTTTACAGCCAAAATCTCAGAGTGAAATACCCACCCACATTCAAAAAAAAAGAAAAAAAAAATTAAGCACTTCAAAGCACAAAGACCACCAGGTTATAAAAATCAGGGTTCGGTTTCCTACTGAACTTTCCAGTTATGTCTTCAAAGTCTGATTTGGGATGTCCCGTACGATTTATTTAAGAATTCAGTCATATGAAAGAAGTTGCAACACTGTCCCCACAATACAAACCTGCATTCGGCATTTCACTAAATCCAGGGGAACGACAGCAGTGTGTGTCAGCCCACAACTTAAGACCCCACCAAAGCCACACAGTGCATAAAACTTCATGGAGCCATATTCACAACTGTACTCTGCAATAAGACAAGACACACCATGCGTTTTAATACAGAGCTCACGTGGCCGCGGCCGACTTACCTTCCGACAATTAGGCTTTCTCACACAGCGCGTTAGTAGAGGACTACATCTTACAACCTAAAGGCCATGCTTCACAACAGGCTTCAGTCCGGCATGCAACACAAACCTGCATTCTGCATTTAACCAGATCTAGAGGAACCAAGGCTGTATGTGTGGTGCCACAGCTAATAATGCCTCCCATTCCACAAAGCAAAAAGAATCTGCCAGATCCATAGGCACAGCTATACTCCTCTGATTGGGGGAAAAAAAAAAAGTCAAGTAAGTACTTCAGAGATGACTCAGACCAGGAGAGTGAAAGAGGCTGCTTCCCTGAGACACAGCTGCGCACGGGCCTCCTTCCACCACTAAGCCGAGAGTTCATTTTCCATCTCCTGTGATTAATGAGGTTGGATCACAGAAAGCCTACGCATTTGGGTAGTTACTGGCTACCTTATTTTGCCACATTAACACAACCTCTTATGGTTACAAATCAAACTTCTATTTTATTAACAGCTGACAAGAGCACAATTCAGCCGCTACCTAACACTACTTCCACGTACAAACTCCTGTAACATAAAACCAGATACATTCCTACAGCCAAAGCCGTGTAATACACAAATGTTAGCTCTAGCTTTTAAAGTCAAAGGCAGAATGACCTGGAAGGTCTTCTTATCCACAGCATGGACACAACAAAAGCACATGAACAACTGAGAGGGAAAAAAAAAGATTTGGGTTTCTTTTTCTTTTGCATTTTACAGGTACAACGGAGGTAACATTCTGTCGAGTCCTACAATTCCGTTCTCGGGTTTCTCTGTACGTACATTCCACTGGGATTTAAAACACACACAATTAAATTAAGTCCACCACCCCAACACCCACCACCTAGACCTTCCGACGGCCTTGGTGAAGCGGCAGGCCGCCCATCTCCGCCAAAAGCATTCGTGACACCCAGTTACACATAACTAAGGGCAGAAAAGATGGACTTTGCGTCCACTAAGCCGAGACAGTGGACATCCTCGATGAAGGGGAAGGGTTTTTGGTTTCAAAAAAAAAAGGACAGATTCAGTGACAGGTTAAAGAGTCAGAACTCTGGGAAGGTGACTTTCGCCCAGTGCAGTCCACTGACCAAGATAAGGAGCCGGTGGCACGGCCTCGCCGCCTCTCCTCCCTTGGGGACATGGAGGTCACCGAGGAGCGCCAGGCCCGTCCCTCCCACGCCCTTGAGGGAGGGCCAGCGACTGGGCTGCCGGCATGCCAGGGCCAGCCAGGGCCAGCGGGCGCCGTGGGCAGCGACCAGGGGTCCCCTGCACGAGCTCGGGGGTGCCCTGCATGACCCCAGGGTTCCCCTGCACGACCTCGGGGGTCCCCTGCACGACCCCGGGGTTCCCCTGCACGACCTCACCTTCCACGGCCGCGGCGGCCAGGCTGCGGGAGCGGCGGGGCGCGCCCGGGGGCCCATCGTGCACCAGCTGCAGGTGCGGCGCGTGGAAAGGGTTCGCCCGCGCCAGGTGCGCCACGGACGAGAACATCTCCCTAGGAAGAGAAAAAGGAGGAAAAGGTGAGCGGGACGGCCCGAGGCCACGGCGTCCCCCGGCGCCGCGCGGGGACCTCGGCCGCGGCCCTCCTCCGGCCTCCGCGCCCTTGAGGAGGTCACGGCCGCTCCCCGAGGGACGCCAGCCAGGCGGCGCTCCCCTGGGGCCCCCGCTGCGCTGCCCCAGCCCACTGCCGGGGAGCCCGGGCCGCACTCACTCCCTAAGATGGCGAACACGCGACCGCTCGCTGGGGAAGGATGCGGCGCACAGAGGCCGAATGTCCTCCCAGCCCTTAGATCTGTGCCCTTCGCGCGTCGTCAGCGTGACGCACGCGGCGCGCAGCCGCCAGAGCGTGCCTCCCATTGGCCGGCAAGAACGCCGAGGCCGGGGCGTCATCGCGTTCTCCTAGCAACCTTATCCCCGCCCACGCCCAGCCCAGCCCTTCCGGCTAGAAATGCGCAGAAGGATTCCTAGTGCGCATGTGCGGTTTTTTTTTTTTTTGGTGGCCTTTTTTTTTTTTCCTTCCGAGTGGAGTTGGGATTGTTCTCATGACCTGGTCATTTTGTCTCACCTTGAGGTCCGTCTCCTTGAAGCCAGGCAGTCAAGCTCTTCCCGTGTAAGCGAGGCTCAGTGTAGTTACTGAAAAAGAGACACGAATGCTTGATGAAATCGTGCAATTGGAACGTCAAGGTTGTATTTTATTCACTAGTTCTGCCAGGGTAATAGTGTCTTTTTTAAAGTTCTATTCCTTGATATAAAGCAAGCATATCTGCATCTTCCAGTACAAGAATATTTTTAAAGGAAATGTGTGGCCTGAATTATTTTTTAAATATTTATTTTTATTAGGAAAGGCAGATTTACAGACAGGAGAGACAGAAAAATCTTTCATCCGCCGGTTCACTCCTCAGGTGGCCACAATGGCTGGAGCTGAGCCGATATGAAGTCAGAAGCCTCTTCTGGGTCTCCTACATGGGTGCAACAAGGCCCCACGGCTTTGATCCATCCTCTACTGCTTTCCCAGGGAGCTCGGTGGGAAGTGGAGCAGACAGGACATCAATTTGTGCCCGTATAGGATAATGGCACTGACAAGGGGAGAATTTAGCCACTGAGCCATCGCGCTGGGCCCCGCCAGAATTCTTAGGTTTTCTTTTCTTCTCTTCTTCCTCTTTTTTTTTTTTTCTTTTTTTTTTTTAAGAATTCTTAAGTTAAACGGCACATCTTGCTATTTCATCCCAAGAGTAAATCTAGGGCCCGGCACTGTGGCCTAGCAGCTTAAGTCCTCACCTTGACATGCCAGGATCCCATATGGGCACCAGTTCTAATCCTGGCAACCCTGCTTCCCATCCAGCTCTCTGCTTGTGGCCTGGGAAAGCAGTCGAGGACAGCCCAAAGCCTTGGGATCCTGCATCTGCATGGGAGACCTGGAGGAAGTTCCTGGATCCCAGTTTCAGATTGGCGCAGTACCAGCGGTTGCACCCACTTGGGGAGTGAATCATCAGACAGAAGATCTTCCTCTCTATGTATCTGACTTTGCAATAAAAATAAATAAAAAATTTTTAAAAAGAGTCTAAGTCAACATAGGGCCCCTCAACAATTCAATAACTGTGTAACATATAGGGGTACCTACAGAGGTGAAAAAGAAAGTGAAAGCAGATTGTGTATGATGAGTGAGCAAATCCCCAGTTGAATACGGTGAGGAGTGAGAGTTGACTGGAGAGAATTTAATAGGTGTCAGATCTGTTAGAATTTGCTTCCCCAGATCTTGATCAATGTAGCCTGGGAAATTTACTTTATCTCATGAACTTGTTTCTTACATGTACAAGGAGGGTAGGCCAGGTCATGGACTGTACACTGGTCTTATCCTTGCTGTTACATTTTTACATTCTTAATAAACGCTTGAGCAAGGGGCCACACGTATTGTATTTTGCACTGGACTCTGCAGATCATGCACCTGAGACTTCTTGGAAGTAATGCCTTACAGAGCTTATGAGAATTCAATTAGATACTGTCTCAAAGTCCACAAAAGATACAATGTTGGGCTATGAAAGTAAGGACCGATGTGAGAAAAGGAAGACAGACTTGTACTATGGCATGCATTTGCTTTACCGCGTTTATCCACCGTACCCGCAGATGAACCTCAGAAGATCTCATTTCCACCTAGTAAGGCGGGCTATCTGGAAGCAGGCTCTGCCGCTAAGGAGGCCCATGGTCGCAGGCACCTCCACGGAGGTAGCAGCCATCTGAACTGGGTGGGGATCACAGGTCATTTCGTGTCTTGCTCTGGGGGCCGGTGTTGTCCAGGCAGAACTACCACCTGCAGTGCCAGCGTTCTCCTTTGCTGATGGTCCAAGTGCTCGGCCCGTGCCCCCATGCGGGCAACCTGGACACAGCTCCTGTTTTCTGGCTTTGGTCTGGCCTGGCCAGCCCTGGCTGTTACAGCTATTTCAGTAGTGAACTAGTGAATGAATATCTTTCTCTTTCACTCTTCCTTTCAAATAAATAAAATAAATCTTTAAAAAAAAAGAAAGAAAGAAAGCACTTGGACATATTGCCAGGTGTGTATGTTGCAGACCCGGCTGTACTAGACCCTGACACTCGGAGACCTGCCTCTTATCTGGGACACTGGCTCGCTGCTGCCTCCAGGAACGGGATTCCCGATGCTAGCGCATGCAAGACCCAGCTGAGCCTTCCTTAAAGCCATCTGTGGATCTTAGAGGGAAAAAAACGGTGTGTCACTTTCTTTCTTAGGAGTCAGAGGACAGAGGTACAGCAATTGACCTTCCCTCTGGAAGACATGTCAGCACGCCAGCCACTGGATGAGTCACCGCAGAACAATGATCAGGGAATGACCAAGGTCCTTGGGGACAACGATTTAAGGCTGGAGAGTAGACACAGTCCTGAGGTGAGACTATGGCTCTGTTTGCTGACACGAGAAGCTACCTCAGAAGGGGGAAGACAGGGAAAGGGAGAAAGTACCAGCGCAGTCGCTGAGTAACAGGTGCCAGAGAATTTGCTGATTGGCCCCAGCAACAAAATTACACCTGAAACAGCTACAGTTGGAGCTTACAGTAACTGTTGTTCCCAAGCTCTGTGTGTCCTCTGCACAGTTCACATTGGCGGCTGAATGAGACTGTGATGGGAACCATCACTCCAGTGCCTTTTTTTTTTTTTTTAATTATAGGGTTGGAATTTTTGGTACACAGTTCAGCAACTGTAACGCAGGGTTAATGTGAGTCCTAGCTAACCCGTTTCCAACCCACCTTCCTCCCTGCAAAATTGGTCCCTAGAGGAAAAGATGATGAGTCAAGAGCTTGGCCTCCTGTCACCTACCTGGGAAACCCGGATGGAACTCCAGATTCCCAGCCGGGCCTTGGCTGTTGTGCCCTTTGGGGAATGAACCAGCAGTTGGAAAAGTATTTATCTTTACATTTCAACTGTGTGAAAAAAAAAACATTTAAAAAAATATTTAATTTATTTATTTGAGAGGCAGAATTACAAAACTTGGACAGGGAAAGAGAGAGAGAGATCTTTCACATGTGGGTTCACTCCCCAAATGACTGCAACACACAAAGGCGTGCCAGTCCAAAGCCAGGAGAAAGGAGTTTCTTGGGGTCTCCCATGTGGGTGCAGGAGCCCAAGGATTCGAACCATCCTCCACTGCTTTCCCAGGCACATTAGTAGTGAGCTGCATTGAAAGAAGCGCAGCTGGGACTTGAACCAGGGCCCCTATGGGACACCAGCATTTCAGGCAGCAGCTTTTCTCATGACCTCACAGTGCTGGCTCTATAAATAAACATTGTCCAGAGCTGATTCGGGAACTGGGAGCCCTATCCACGTGTCCAAAATAGGTGGATGTGCATTTGCCTTGAGACACAGTTGAGCGAAACTCCATTAATTAGTTGACTTTCCTAAGTCCCTTTTTAGGTTGATGGCCCACAGTAGCAGTGTTGGTTTCTAGGAATTAATCTCCATTCAGAGGCAGCACATGATTTTATATACACACAAAGTTTCTGTGTTTCTCTTCCTTGTTACACCAACTCATCCTGCCTGTAAGTTACTCTGAGGAAGCCCAGCAGGAAAATGTTCAATATAAAGTGTGGATTGCAAAGCGGGATCCGTCCTCAAGTGATGCTATGGTTCAAATATATATGCCCTTCCAAAATTCTCTGCCAACACTTGGCTGGCTGGGGTAGTTAGTTGATCACTCTGAAGTGGACTAGGTCAACCAGTGGACCCTGGAGGGATTTCATCATGCTTGGAGCAATGAAATCAACAGCCACAGAACTATTGAATTCCTGAAACTACATGAGCAGGACCCTCAGGGCATGGCCTCCATCAGGGACCCCGGGATGACATTGGGTGGTCATCCTCCATCCCAGGGTACAGAGGTGGTTAGGAGGATGGGTGTGGCTTCTCCCCATGTCTCCCCCTTTCCCCAGATACAGGAAGATGAAAAAAGAATGTGGAAGCAATGGTCTTAACTACTTTTCTCTAACCCTTGGCCCTTCCCACCCAAATCAACTATGTAAAACATCATCATAAAAAAATGCATAGCAAAAAAAAAAAAAAAAAAAAAGATGGGGCTAGGTAGGTGTCGTGGTGCTGTGGTTCAGCTACCTTTTAAGACACCAAATCCTAAATCAGAGTGCCTGGAACCGAGTCTTGCCTCTGCCTCCCAATTTGCTTGGCAATTCTAGGAGGCATCAGATGATGGCTCAGGGACCAGAGTCCCTGCCACTGACTGGGAGATCTGACGCCATGATATTTGAGCTGGCCTGATGTACTTCTTGAATGTGCACTTGGCTCTACATAGATCCTGCATTCTTTTTTTTTTTAATTTATTTTTATTGGAAAGGCAGATATACAGAGAGCAGGAGAGACAAAGATCTTCTGTCCGATGATTCACTCCCCAAGTGAGCGCAACGGCCGATGCTATGCCGATCCAGGAGCCAGGAGCCTCTTCCGGGTCTCCCACACGGGTGCAGGGACCCAAAGCCTTGGGCCGTCCTCGACTGCTTTCCCAGGCCGCAGGCAGGGAGCTGGATGGGAAGCGGGGCTGCCGGGATTAGAACCGGCGCCCATATGGGATCCCAGGTGTGCAAGGCAAGGACCTTAACCTCTGCGCCACTGCGCCGGGCCCAAGATCCTGCATTCTTGCATGCCTTTATGTGGCCACCTTGAACTCTTTTGTGTGTGGGGAGAACCTCAAACAAACCTAACCTGGAATCCTATAGCTCACAACAGTACTATCTCAATAGAGACCAAACGCATACAAAATATCTGCTTTGGCAGCTTCCAAGATTGCAGAACTGTGAGAAATAAAT